CCAGCTCTACACCTTGTTATCTCAAAGCACCAGAATGTATGATTTTTCTTCTGGACCCAGTCTCAACAGGTTAGGAACTGAAGCTTCCAGTAATGTGGTACTGAGACTTACAATAGAGGGAAATGCTCAGTATGTGCAGTGACATGTGTTTAGTTGGTGTGATGATCATGGTCGAATAGCTGAGGGCATGAGTTTTGGTGCAGTGTTATATGTGAAGATGAAGTGAAGCTCTGAATGTTATGTATTTATGTAGCTGTCAAAAAAAATCTGAGCTCCAGATCCTTGTCGACTCCTTTGCTGAAGCAGATGAGAAAATGGGCCTTTGGTTAGAAAGGCAAATGGTATACTTGCCTTTATTATCCAAGGCATAGAGTTTAAAAGCAGGAAAGTTTTGCTGCAACTGTAGATAACGTTGGTTGGGCCAGAGCTTGTGTGTTGTGTGCCATTCAGGAATCATCATTGTAGGAAGGATGTTATAGCATTGGAGAGGGTGCAGAGATTTACTAGGAAATTGCCTGGACAGGAGAGTTTTACTTATGAAGAGAGATTGGATAGAGTGGGGCTGTTTTCATTAGAGCAGCGGAGACTGTGGAAGGACATTATTAAGATGCATAAGATTATGAGGGGCATAGACAGGTTAGACAGGAAGAAAGTTTTCCCCTTGATGAGCGATCAGTGACCAAGGGGTATAGATTTAAGGTAAGTGGCTGGAGCTTTGGAAGGGATGTGAGGAAAAATGCTTTCATTCACAGGGTGGTAGAAACTTGGAATTCACTGCCTGAAATGGTGCTGGAGGCAGAAACCCTCACAACATTTAAGAAGTATTTAGATGTACACTTCAGGTGTCAAGGCATACAAAGCTATGGTCCAAATGCTAGTAAATGGGATTAGAATTGTCAGATGATACTTATTGAGCAGTGCAGACTCAATCGTCCAAGGGCCCTTTTTTTGTGCTTTTGCCTCTGTGGCTATAAGTTCAGCTTTCTCCCACTAAGGCTCATACCATTGCAGCATTTCATACGCTGTTGAAATATTAACGGTGTAAGGGGTTTATCGTGCCTTGCAGATGTCCAGCAATCTGTCTTCCAACACAATGCAAGGATTGGTGAGATGATATCCCAGGGAGAGGCAGAGGCACTGTGTAGCATGTGTCTGTGCTGGTTGAAGTGTTCGACGTTTTGCAAAGTTAGTGTCAGAAGAGTTTTAGTCAGTGTCTAACTCACATTTATGTCTTATCTGAGACTGCTTGATAGGACAACATTGAGAGATTATTAGTCTGTACACTGCCTAGCCTGGTTTGTACCTGATGGGGAACTGCTTAGTCCTGATAATAAATTGATTCAGGTTCCTTATTCCAGCACTAGCATCTCTTTACTTGGGATCAAGACAAAAAGAATTCAGTAAATTACCTGAAAGACTTAGTGTTTTCAGCCTGAATTCCATCCCATACAGAATAACAAAGCATAGACTAGCATCCAGTTTCCGCGCATCATCTGGATAACGTTCAAAATCTCTTGAATTCTTCCCAGGTCGAATTTCTTTAATTTCCCGGATGTCAACTATATGAAAAGAAGAAAAGAAAAAATCCCAGCTTATTCCATGAATTAAGTATGAACAATATTGCATCTGCATGACCTCTCTGTCAACATTTTTATTATGAATGCTCACATTTATAATGTAAACTGATTATATAAAAGTTGTAAGGCTGCAATTATACCTTCCCCCATTGAAAAAGCTGAAGCACAATTATTAGCAGCAGGATGTAATTATAGCATGACAGGTTACATGGATAAGTTGCATTATAACTTTGGACCGAGGATACAATGAGAATAGAAAAAATAAAAACATAATGTATTACTTCATAATAGTGACTGAATTAGTTTGCAGCCTTGTTCCAATGACCTTCCTGCCCACTAACCCCACTTCATTCAAAGACGATAGTTAGTCTTCAATTCCTACGTGCAATGCCACAAGAGGTCAAACAGTAATATGTGATGTAGATTTTACATGTGTGCGTACCTTACCTCCCTCTGGCATGTTTTGGAGTTTTTATCAACTTCTTTCTAATGTACATTCCTATCTGTGTATTTATGAAGTATGCTTGTCACACAATAATTATTACTTTCATTGAACAATTGTACTGTAATATTGATATTGTCCACTCCCCAACCTTTAGTCTTTATGCATTAATTAATTCTAGATCTCTCCTTCCAAAATTGCAATTGTCATGATCGCAGCTGATGGTAATATTCACAAGTCAGATCCCAAGGTGGATGCTAGCTTGATGGGCAATTAGTTTTAGCTTTGCAATTTGTTTAATGTAGCGGTTAATCACTGAACGTATTCACAAAAGGCTGCAAATGTGTTTTCTACAAAATAACATCAGCAATTAATACAAGCAAAATTAAAAATATAAACATTTCAGACTGTACAAGAACTAATTGTAACAGTCTTATTACAAATATCAGAAATAGTCAAATCTTTTCCGCTCAATGACAACCTCACAGATAATCAACTCTCAGTGTGTGGTCACCTTGTTCCACTTTAAAATTCCTTGTTCAGTAGACACGGCTATAACTGATTTCTTCTCAGCTCACTGCTGCATTCACTTCATGCTTTCTTTTAGTTAATGTCTCTTCCTGAGACCCTTAAACAAATTGCTGACACAGCTCACTTATTTCTTAATATGAAGTCCTTAAACTCTTTCCACAGTCTTCTATTTCTGGAGCTTTTGTCTTCTGACATTAAGCCACCCAGAACTTTTCTTTTGCCCTGTTTCAGAGACTGTTGAATTGCACTATCTACTTCGGTCCACTTTAGAACCCAAGTTTCTAAATAATAACAATGATATATTGTGAACCTTCACACAATATTTATACTAACTATACTGACTAGCAATATATAACTATAAAATATAAAATTGTAAAACATAATATAAAATTCAGCTATTAACTACAAAATCAAAGCATTAGCTAAAACATGATAGAAGTTATCAAATCTCTTTAAAACCAATATAAAAACAAAGTACAGTTTGAAATTTTCCTGTGATCCTGGTTCAATTATTTCCCCAGTTTACTTGAAAACTACTACAAGTTTCTAAATAACTGAAACTTCTAATGCCCCTCCAAACTGTTAAAATAAAACTTAATATTATGGACTATTCTTACAGACAAGATTTTGAGAAAATGCTTTTATTTATGGAAGAATCTAAAACTAGGGATCAGAAATACAAGATTCTTACTAATAAATCCAAGACGAAAGAAAAAATAAGTTTTTTGGCGTGGGTAGCACGGTGATTTAGTGGTTAGCACTGCTGTCTCACAGCACCAGGGACCTGGGTTCAATTCCAGCCTCGGGTGACTGACTGTGTGGAGTTTGCACATTGTCATGTTCTGCGTGGGTTTCCTCTGGATGTTCTGGTTTCCTTGCACAGTCCAAAGATGAGCAGGTTAGGTGAATTGGCCATGCTAATTTGTCCATAGTGTCCAGGGATGCGCAGGCTAGGTGGATTAGCCATAGGAAATGCACAGTTACAGGGATAGGTTAGGGAGGTGGGTCTGAGTGAAATGACCTTCAAAGGGTTGGGGTGGACTTGATGGGCCAAATGACTTCGTTCCACACTGTACGTATTCAATGATTTATTGAAAGGGTGATTATAGTGTGGAATTCACTGCCTCTAAAAGTGGTTGAGGTGAATATCTTTGATACTCTCTAAATGAAACTAAATTCCCCAGATGAGGGGAAACAAAGATATGCTGAAAAGTTGAGGTGAGACAGATGGTGGTGACTCATATGGACTATAAACATCAGCAGAGACAAGCTGAGCTGAATTTTCTCGCTCTATGCAACATGTAATGCTGTGTATATTTTAAAAACACTATTTAAAATTACAAATTTCACAATAGTGATTAAGTACATTCACTTATTTAACTTTTGTATCTTCCAACACCTTGGCTGAAGTTTTTCTATTTGAAGGCTTCAACCTCTTCCAAAAAGCTTGAATTTGGACTTGATGCTTTTGCTTCAAGCGATGAGCTGAAGTAAGATTGTGCATTCTGTACATGTGGCATGTATTTTGCTGAAAAAAGTCAATGCTAATTCTGTAGACCCCTGAGACAAGTATTCTGTTTTCGAACATCAATGAAGCAGAGAAGCAGACAACAGAGAGAGAAAGAAAGGCATACAGAACATGCAGTGTCTCATTCTAATTTGATTTTTAAAAATAAAACAAATTGGTTGCTTAAAGCAAATAAAGTTTATTTGAAAGAAATAGAAAAGAAGGAGTGTGGAGAAAATATGCACATGACAGCCAGGTTTCCTAAACTGAACTAGCCCCATTTGCCTGTGTTTGGCCCATATCCCTCTAAACCTTTCCTAGCCATGTTCCTGTCTAAATGTCTTTTAAACATTGCGATTGTACCCACCTCTACCTCTTCCCCTGGCACCTCATTCCATACTCGCACCACTCTCTTGTGTGAAAAAGTTACCTCTCAGATCCCTTTTAAATCTTTCTCCCTACCTCCCAAACCTTTCCTTAACCTTGTTTAGGCAACACTACCACTATGTCATTGTCTCCCTTCCGCAGAAACCAGAAGAATTAAAGATGACATAAGAAAAAGGCAATGTTGCACTTTGAGCTCAACTGTTCCACTCCCCTTTGATTTCTCATTTCTGACAGTCATAAAAGCATAGTGTTACATAAATGGAACAGAAGATTTCTCATTCCAGTCAGTGAATGCCAGCTTTAGGAACTACTGGTGTAGCACAGGACACGGAAAAGTAACATTTCTTTTCCACTACCTGAGCAAAATGCCACAGCTCCAGCTTCAGGAAATTATCGAATTACAGAATGGTCACAGTGTAGGAGTGACCATATCAAGTCTGTGCCAACTCACTGCAACAACAGTCCAGCTAATCTCAAATCTGTATCTTTTTCCAAAAGCCCAACAATTTATTCTTTTAAGTACTTATCCATTCCCTCTTAGAAGCCACTATTGAGATTGCCTTCACCATCCTTTCACCAGTGCTTTAACATTGCAACCGGTCAATGAGTCAAAAATGTTTTTCCTCGTATCATCTTAGATTGCTTAACCAATTTCCTTAAATTGGTGTTTTCTAGACCTTGACCCTTCCATTAATGGAACCAATTCTTCTCTATCCACTCTGTAATGGCTCCTCTTGATTTCGTTGGCTTTTGATGGCATTTTAAAGCCTTCTTGATAGCTTTATTATTATTAACTCAAGTCAACATGGTATTCCTCCTTAGTCAAACTTATTGTCATCTTAAAACCTGAGCTAAGATAAATTCCAGATCAGATAAGGAACTTGGTCGGCTTTGAACGTTATAGCCTGGGTCATTTAACAGAATGTTTTCCCTCCAGAAGTTTCAAACCAGCAAATCTATACGCAATGCACAAATCCACCTTAAAAAATAATATTTGGAGATATTCAATCAAACACATTTAAAGAAAATATACTCAGGATATAATTTATTTAGAATGGCCTTATCTCAAATTTTCAAAATAGGACTGAACCCTTTCTTGTCTGAAGATAGCTGCTGTCTGTTTATGTTTTTTTTCAAATCTTAAAATTATTCTCTGTGGTCAAAAGAGAGATTTCCATTGTTCGTTATATGTCCATGAAAACAATACTTATTACTTTGCTTATACTGTTTCTTACTTGATTTTTCTTTATGGTTCAAATGATCTTCTAATGCTTCTGTCACAGGTGTTTGGCTATCCTGCAATGTCCCTAAAAGTCTTGCACTTTTCTCCAATTTTTAAAAACTGTTTTCTAGGAATTTATTCAGATGCTACATATTATGCATTCTATTTGCAGTAATTTCTATTACTTAAGTAATGCCTTATTTTTTTCTCATTAATTTAATCACTTCCTTCATATTTGAAAACATGTTTCACATCTCCCCACAATCTCTCTGCTTTAAAGAAAACATCCCTCCATTTTCTTCAAATCAATCCATACAGCCAAGGTCCCTCATCCTATAGTTTGATTGCACTTCATTTACAAGCCGTTTACTAAATCTGACCAAATTTAATTTGACACACATTTCATAGACAGTAAATTAGGATGCAAATCTTTGTTATAGTGGGAAACTTCTAATCTATTGCACCATATTTTATTACCCAGATGGCATTTGAGTCATCACTGTGGGTCTGGAGTTACATGTAAGCTAGCTTTCTGAAAAGTGAATCAAAAGATAATCTCTAGCGTAGCTTCTAATTTAAGAGTTATATTGAATTCAAATTGCACCATCTGCCACAGTTGGATTTGAACTAATGTTCAATATCGCTGGGGTTCATACATTACTAGACCAATGATATGATCACTATGCCACCACTTCCTCTAATAATTACAGTGCTGGCATAGTGGTGAGAATATCCTCTGTTCTATATGCAAAATCACTTTTACAAGCACGCTTCCTGACAAAAACAATGCTTATTTTAATTTAAAAATCACCTGCAAGTGAAGATAAAATCATGCTTACAACTAATTGAGAAAATTTGAGGCTGACTCCGAAAGTTCCAGCCATTCACAGCCT